GCCAGCCCTGCAGCCGGGAACCGCAGGGCAACCCGTGGTGCGAGGCCCGGGCGCCTGCAGCGTTGGGAACCACGGTGCTGCTGGTTGAATCAGCGGCAGAAATCCTGAATCTCTCGACTTGAGAGAGCCCTACAGTTTAAAAAAAATCAAAGAAAGGTAAAGGGGTGTTTTATTCAAAATCGTGCATAATTTTTAGCCTCTGTGGTAACATAGGGTCAGCAGGTAGCATGCCCGATGGAAGGAGCTCAGCGTGGTGCGGTGTTCTGGCAGAAGACTGACCTGTGAATCTGCTCAGGATCAACTCTCCATAAATAGTCACCCTGCAGCTTATTCCCCTACCCTGGGACTTTTTCCACAACATGCCCTGCTTGCCACCTCCAGTTTTTGCTCATGTCTTGAGCCTTCTTGCGTCCCTGCAGTTCCCCTTGAAGTTCAGCGGGAGTGCAAGGCAGCCAACATCTAAAAGTAAGGCTTCTCAGAGAAAACTTTACTCATGGCAGTAGAATCACAAGAATTGGTGGAAGTATTTGCATGTGTAAAGATTTTAGCGTCAGACCTTTCATCTGTCAGCAGCGTGGGGCACAGAACTGCCATATTTGTATGGCTGGAAAGCAATACATCTATCCCAAGCCTTGCGTACAATAACATTACAAATTGAGTTCCAGAAACCCCTGCCATATTTGTATGGCTGGAAAGCAATACATCTATCCCAAGCCTTGCGTACAATAACATTACAAATTGCAGTTCCAGAACTTCTTCCTGTGAATTTTAAAGCCAAAAGTGACCGCTGTAATTACCTCATCCAGCCGCTGTATTGCAGGACAGTGAGTTTCATCTGGTAACCTAAGTGTATTGCTAATTGCACATGTTTTTAGATAGCTGCTCAGACAGATGAGATTAAAAGATCATGGCAAAATTCTTGCTGTGGGTTTCAGTGAGGACAGGATTTCATCCTCAGTCTCTGTTCAGCGTTCTCTTACTGACATTATTGGACTTCTTGGGGGTTTTTTTAGGGTGTTTTTTTTTTGTTTTCCAGTTGTGAGGTCAGGATAATATTATCATTCTACTCTGTGAGAGCATTAAAAAGGTGAAACTACTGATGATCAACCATCATGGCAAGTGCTTCTTTGAAGTAGCTCTTTTTAAAAAATTACTAGCCCTACCCACATTTTTACCACGCAGGCTCAGATATATGAGATTCGCATGATGTTAACTACATCCAAAAGTAATATTGCCATATAAACTGTTTTGGGTAGGTGTGTTATTTACACCAGCAAGTTATGCCGATGCAGGTTTGGCTCTGAAAGTCCTCTAGCATCCCTTTCACATGGAAGGTGTTTCCTGGTTTGCATTTGGGTTTTTTTGTTTTTCTGTCTGTATCTCTGATGACTTGTATTGTGCAATATAGTAATGTGCACCCCAGTCCATTGCAGTGATGTTTTACTCTGGTTCTTTTCTCTGTCTCTCCACTCCTTCTGGGAATTTTGTGCATTTTTTCCCAGTGCAGTAGTCCAAAGCATGTAAATTGTGCCACCATATTAATTAGAATAGCTGAACGAATTGGGAAACATTACCAATCTGTTCAGTGTTTGTTTCTTTCAAATAACAAAGGGTATCTCATTCAGAAAGATGCCTTACTCGGTAGTTTGCAGCACTAGAAACTGTATTATTTTAAATCTTCTTTTGGGAAGTCTTGTAAAGCCAGTAGATACTTTTCTGCCTACCATAACATAAAAGCAGTCATAGGCTTTTAACTTGGTTGAGTTTGTGAAACATTTTTTTCAGGAGATAGAAATGATCATGTAATGAAACTCAACATACTCCTTTTAAGCAAGAAAATTTTGCACGTACAGTATATGGGAGCTTGAGGCCCAATTTTCCAATACCTTTATGGACAAATGTTCATGGCACCATTTCAAAAACCCTCCTTTAAACAAATTCTGTATATGAGGTGGGGGCAGGGAGGGGGTTGTTTTGGGTTTTTTTAACTTGTAGTCTTTGTGGAAGTCCCTACAAGGTGGGAGATTTCTCACAAGCATTATGGAGGTTATAATTTGAGGAAAAAAGAGAGACATCTTTCCTATTGCCTGTATGATTCATTTTTCTGAAGTTCTAGGACTAATAGCAAATTAGTCGATTGCTCACAACTAAATATGAATGGGGGGTGTTAGCTGTTCTGGACTGCCCAGAGCAGGACCATACTTCACTATTTACAGTCTTTTATTAGATAAGAATGTAACTATTCAGACATTTTAAAAAGATGCTGAGAGCTTATGCAACTTATAGGCAGCATTAGCAGTACCATAAGGACTGATAATGCTGATTTCCTGCTTCAGCTTTGTGTCAGACCATTACGTCTACTCTTTCTGATTAATACTGCAAAGCATCTTTGGAAGCTTCCAGATGAAATGTCCTAAAAATAGGACAGAATTTACTGTGATCTTGCTTCAGAATAGTTAATAGGGAGGAGTCTTCTGAACCAGTTAAGCTTTATCCTGTAACTTTTGTCTAACCTAGGTGACTTCTTTATTTCTTCCATCTGGAAGAAAAAGCAACCCACGGCAGACTTCTTCTTTTCCTCATTAATGTTTAATGGAGCTCCCATCCATACCTACACACATCTGTTAAACGTGGTCTTCAGTTTACCCACAGGTTATTTTTAATATAACATTCAGGCTTAAGACAGAATTTCTCTTTCTTTTGATCTTGGATTTGGTTCAGACCTCTTTAGAAGTTGCAGCTCTCTTGTTCCTAGACATCTTCTTTGGCTGATATGGTATTTAAACTTCCGTCATCCCAGCCAAGCCGTTGTGCATGATGAATTAAACATCCCTGCTGTTTTCTTTGATCACAGAAATAACAATTACTCTGTTATTATAATCTCTTAACTTGTCATAAGGCTTGCATAGCTTAGATGGAAAAGATCATTGATTACACACACTTCTTTAGAAGCAGAATACATATGGACGGCTAATATTTGAGGAAGAGACAGATCCCCCCCGCCTTGCACCCATCTATTTGAAGCAAAACTCGGCGAAACATCAGAGTCTTCTGTATGTTGGGGCCCTGCATTGGCCAGAAAGATTACCTAGGTGACCTACTATGATGATTTTTTTTTTTTCTTTTTTCTGTCTTTAGCTTGGACTTTGGTTTTCTGGTGCTATGTTTTGTCTTTTAAATTATTTGACAATGTAACAATCAATACTTCCAATTAAAGTGAAGTTTAGACTTCCTGAAACTGAGTGCTGCTCTTCCACCATCAGAAGAGACAAGGGCAACACCATTGCTAGAATCAAAAGCCCAGCACTGGAGATAAAAAACAAACCAAAGCTCTCTGGTGCCTGCCTTTCCTGTCTAGTGCACTGTGTATGTTTTACCGGAAAGCAATTACAATATGTGTGACTGCTTTGGGAGCCAATACTTTCACAGCAGAGCCGGTCTTGAAAGCCCTGCATAGTGATCAGTTCTACTTCATGGCCCTGTGTGCTGGGCTTGCGATTCCCACAGTAGGTTAGTAGTCTTTCTGGACCTGACCCAAAGTGAATGAAGTCAGTGGGAACTATTTCAGTTGGCTGTAGATGAAGTAAAACATTATAAAATAATAAGTGCAAGGGAGACTGTTCTGCCATCATACACCTGCAAGGATAGCACCACGTAGATTAGTATCTTGCACTTATATAGCATTCTTTCCCATAAAATACTCAGATGTTTTTTATGAATATGAGCTCAGTGCTCGTTACAAATTTGCATGTGTCTAGCTGGGATTCCAGAGAACTGATGTTTACTCATGCAGGTCCCTTTGGCAGGATCAGATTCTGCGTCTGTTCAAACCCACTGAATCCAGCACTGAAGTGTGCCCGTCTTTGTGGAATACAGTTGTTAGCAATTCACAGCAACACTGCACAACATCTTGTGTCAAGCTGAGAATATCCTACCCAACTGAAACCACAGGGCATGCTTACAAAGAAAGATTCATCTCTCTTTTAGAGTTTGCCCAGGAACCCATGGCTGATTTTTTTTCATGAATCCTCTGCAAAAGGTCACACCTTGAATACAAAATGTGTGTGTGTGTGTGTGTGTATATCTATAAAAAACATCAAAGGATGGCATTGTGTGCAGCACTGGGTATCCTCATGCCAAGACATGCTGAGTACAGTTACACACAAAAAAGAAAGCAACTGCTCGGTCACCAGCACAATGCTTGCAGTCATTAATGCCTTTTCCCCAGCTGTCAGTCAGGTTAACTTGCAAAATTGTCTGGCGCTCAGTGCTTGGTGTCACCCGTGCCAGCTGCAAACATGCTCCTCTTTTCCTTTTAGAGACTTCTCCAGGAGTTGCTGAGGTGACGTTTGTGGAAAAGGAGCCAGCTGAACGCCACACAATCATTTCATGGGAGCAAGTGAGTATTTTTGTGACAATACTGCAGTGAGGTCAGTCTGAATGTGCAGCAGCCCATGGAGAATGTCAAATGCAATGGCTACCTTGTGTTTGTTTCTGAGACAGCCTGTTACCGAGTTTGATGCACAGTGGAGCCTAAACAGATTTTTTTTTTTTTTTTTGTTGGGTATTACTCTGCCTTTTAGGCTATCACATGCACCTGATCTGCTAGAGAAACTTCATCAGTGTGGGTATATTCAGAATGACAACTCTAAGAAGAAATCATATAACTGTAGTAGGCAGCAACAGTGGTGACTCAGTGGAGAGCAAATATTGTTCTGACTCAGGTCTGAAACCATTTTCCAACTCCCTTTCAAGCAAGCTCTTTATTATTCATGGCCATTAAAGGTAAAGGCCTCAAGCTGGAAAATACCACTGAGCCACCCAGTTCGTTCCAGGTATCTATTTCTCTTTTCAGTCTCAACTATTCACTTCCATTTCTCATAGCCCCTCCTTCCACTTTCTCTTTGGCTAACCGACCCAATCTTTTGGCCAAGGCATGTCCCATTGCCTGTTCTAGAAGACTATGAAGGACACATGCTGCCTTGACTCCGCTGACCTCACTGCATCAGACTGTGTGACCAGAGGGCTTCTGTGTGACTCTGGTGGGCAGAGATGGCATTTTTTGTGCCCTTTTTGAATATACATGTGTTTGTCAGTCCCATGACTATGGGGGAATAACTGCTTTCTAGGTATCACTCATATCTAGGGAAGAGACAGAAGAAGGCCTGACTGGCCTTTTGAAAGAGGCATGGCAGAGGATGGAGTTGGGTGAATCATCCTCCCTCTGCTCCATTAGGGCTATGCCCTAACGCACATGCTCCTAGAGACTGCAGTTGTTACCACTATGTAAAACAACTTCCCCTTCGATGATGCCTTGCCATTTACAGTTTTTCCTAAACAGTAGGGAAAAATCTTGCACTAGTTTTGGTAACGCCCTATCGCAATTAGTGATACTTATCAAGAAGTTATAAATCCAGGTCAGAATATATGTGCTGTAAACGTGTTATTTATTGAAACTTGTACAGTAGCCAGCCACTGTGGTCAGGCAGAAATGTCCGGTTTTTCAGGTTCATGTGAACTGATTCCTGATTTCTGTAGCTGTTGTTCAGGTGTCAGATTAACTGAGCTGGAAAGTCTGAGGCACCCTGACTGTGAGCCAGCTCAGGTCTGGGAGCAGCAGAGTGACATTCGCTCATTCTTCTGTTCAGTGGAGAGGACTGCTTCTCCTGAACACGGTATTGCTCTCATTTTCAGGTGCTGCTACTCCTCCTAACTGAATTGGGTTTGTTTCAAAATTGAGCTATTCTTTTAAAGCCAAACTTTGAAATGCTGTAGCCAAAGCACTTCGCTCCAAAGATGTCAGAACAAAACTTCAGCTCCCCCCCCACCCCAGCGGTGGACTAAGTTAATTGTGGAAGTAAATGGTGAAAATTAAATAGATACAGTTGAGCTAGACTGCTAATGATGAAGGACTTCGCTATCTATTTCTTTCCTTTTGGTTCCAGTTGCATTGGCAAAACCAGAAATCTCCCTTCTTGAATCAAAAAATAACTATTTTCTTTTACGTTTTTTTCTTGAGCTTTGGGTATGAAGTCTGATGTCTAACACGGTCCACACAATTGCAGTGTGTGCTGCAGTGATGATTAAGTGCAAAAAATTCAGCACCACACAAGGCCCTTCCAGGATGAGCTTGCACCTCACTTTTCCTCAAACTCATCTTACTAGAATTTGAATACAAGTTTATGTGTACCCAACGTTCACTTTTATCACTGGGTTTTTTTTCGTAGCCACTAGGTGGCAATACTTATGCACATAATCATTTCTCCATAGTTGAGGTTTTAACAAGATCTTGTCACAGGCTATATTTTTCACTCCCCTCTATGTCTTTGGTTATGCAAGTATTTGCGGGCTTTTTGTGTGATGTAGGGAAAACTGGTCAAACTATTCCCAAAATTACATTCTTTTTCCAAAAAAAACCTCTCTTCGTTGAGACTCACCAAACAAAAGCTCTATTCTTAAGATTTTTTTTACATTTTTTTCTAGAAGCAATTTTTCCTGTCCTGTTTCAGTTTTGCAATGGAAAGATATTTCTGCTGAGAGAAAATCTATGGTATTCAGAAACTTAAAATCAACCTTTTTTAAATCATGAATGATTAAAATTATGTTCTAATAATGCTGTCAATATGCTTTTTTTTTTTGTCTCTATCAGCTGTGTTTGTTAAATTGGGCTGTGCCCGGTTTGTGCTAGTATTTAACTAGATACCACAATGGAAGTTTTAAAATCTTAGATCAGCTTGTTGAATGTCCATTAGCTGCCATGAGGCTTTGCAGGGGAAGGTGAGCTTCATGACAGGAGACAGTGCAGTAAGACAGTAGGAGAACAGAAGAGATTTTTTCCAAGGCTTTCTGTAGAGGCAGAAAGAGCTGTTAAGTCTTACACTCAGGAAATGAAACCTGAAATCAATCCTGAATATTTTATTGGAAATCAGCACACTCGCAAAAATATTTAAGGTGTATGATTGTCAAGTGTTTACATGGGTAGCATCGCTTCCCCAAAACTTTCAAGCAGTTCAAAATATTTTAATAAAAACAGATAATTTTTTCACGTTTCCTGATATTTAGACCTACCAAGATATTATCTTTGCCCCAAGAAAGTGAGACAAGCAATAGAAGGGGAAATAGAGGCCGAGTTACCAGGTCGCTGGAACACCAGTGCTAATAACTGTATATTGTCCTATAAACACATTCCCACTCCTAAAATTAGGCTGGCAACTGCCCTGCTCCCCTCCACATGCAGTTTTTAAAAGTAGGTGTTATACTAAAATATTGCTAGGAGGCACTCTGGTACCTGCTGTGACAATGTCTGAACCACATTTTCTTTTTGCCTCAACCAGAAGAGAAATGTCACTCACATCATCGTTTTGATTTTCAAAAAATAGAAAATTGCATTCTGTTAGGGGGAGCTGGAGGTCCCAGAGCTCAGCAGCACAACAGGCCAAGCAAAATGAAGGGGGTCATTTTGCCTGTTCCTCTAATTGGCTTGTTAGCAGCGTCTGAACTGTCCCTGGCTGGCTGTAAGTGATCCCTGCCCATCATGTTGCTGGAGCATCGATATTCTACAACTCTGCATGGGAAATTTGTTGTTCCTCCTTGTGCACTTTGTCTACAAAGATTTATTTTTCTGTAATAAAACCATAAAAAAGCCCTCAAGCAGTCTGGTGCTTTCCTGTTGTGGACTGTCTTAGGCTGCCAGACAATTTAGAAACTCTCTGCATGTAAATCTCAGTGGGAACTGCAGTGGTGGTTTCTGGCTATTCTAGAAGTCTTCCTCGTTGCTTCTACCATACCTTTTTTTGACTCAAAAGTATGCATGCAGGCATGCACATCCGCAAGGATCCTTCTTGCCATCCTCCTTGTAATGTCCTCCCTCAGCATTAGGTGAGCCTGCCACCCCTGATCCCCAGGATCAGAGGATCTGACCATCTTGAACCTGCCTTGTGGCCCTGACCGTGGGAGAGGTGGGGAAGTGGATCCAGCAGAACCAATGCATGAGGAAAGGTGTATTTCTTCAAGCTGCATAATGGGGGAGAGGCTGGAGGACTTTTGGGAGGTGGATGGTGTTTCTGACACAGGGTTCCCCTCCTGTGGGGTCTTACAATATGCTGATTAAAAAATCGGCTACACAATGCCATCCTCAACAGAATTGCCAAATCCTGTTCGCCACCACGGGGGACAGGTCTACCCCAGGTCCATGCCTTTCGGGGCACGAAATCCAAGCAAAGTGATCTCCTGGGAGTCCCCCCCAGATCAGATTTATAAAAGGTGCCGCAAGAATGTCTCAGTATCTTACATAAATTAACGTCTTCTGCATTCACTGGCAGCTAGGGCAGACCAGTCATGAAACAGCATGACATTAGGGAGAGAGAAAGGTGGCTGCTGATGTGCTCTGCTACGTGGAAGCCCTGAGAAGTGACGTATATCCCTTCGTTCTCTCCCCAGAAGTTGGATAAGACTCATTCAGTTTTTTAGAGAAGTCTCTCTAGAGTGATATGCTTTGATTGCTGTCCATTTCTTTAGTATATTTGCTTGGGAGGCATTGTTACAACAGTGCTTTAAGTGAATTGCCATATGTCAGTGTTTTAGCTCTGGATCCAGCGCTGATCAGGTCTTGGCAGGCTACCCTATTCTTCTCTTTCCTCAATGGACTGTGCTTTCTTGGGAGACTATTTGGGGATATTATGGACAATAAACAAAAGAAATAGACCTCACACACCATATTGGGCACTTGGGATATTTTGTTTTATGAGCTGATGAGTTTAGCCAGATGACTGGAGTGAAAACAGCTGCTTACCAGGGCTGTGGTTAAGCCACTTCTGGCACGTTATTAGGAATATTGTATTTTATGGGACTGGAGATGACAACCCTGGAAACTACCAGCTAAGCCGGAGGTGTACAGAGCTTGAGAAGCCATTTTTAATATGTAGTAGTGGCTTGTTTCTCTGACTCTGCTGTCAGAAGACCATTGTTTTGAAGTCATAGGATCATGTGGCTAAGCATAATATGGCAGATTAGTCAATCCTTTCTGTCAAATGGGAGAGATGGATATTAGTGAAGCTTTCTACATAGAGGCCTTTACCTATAGACCCCAGATTTGCTCTGGTACAGCATTTTCCACTCATGTATTTTGCACCATCATTTGGAAAGTCATGCAAAGAGACATGGCTAGGAGAATCCTAAAATAAAGTGGGGAGGGCAGCCATTTGGAGAAACATGCACATGTTGATCTTTCCATCCAGAAAAGGAGGATTCAGAGCAGAAGGCCTATCCAGATGTGATTTTTTCCTTGTCTTAATCAGCTATGTTTGTTAAGTTGGGCTGTGCCCAGTTTGTGCTAGTATTTAACTGGATGCTACGGTGGAAATTTTAAAATCTTAGATGTTGTCATCCCAATGGATCTGGTTCTCCTGCTTAGAGGATAACACCCATTGAAGTCAAGAAAGCTGTTCCCATATATATTTTTACTGCTGGGGTAGATTAGTTAAAATTGGGGGGGTTGAAATGGACTGAAAGTGCTCTGTAAACATTTATGCTCTTCTGAGGTTTTGTAGCAGGTCTGTCATATTTTCTTTCTTCATAGTTTTAAACCTAGTCACTGTGCTTACAGCTACAGCTTAAAATTGGAAGTGGTGAAAGCGCAGCATGAAGTTGTAAATATTTAGGACTGAGAAGAACCCACAGAAGAAGGTGTGTTTGTTAAAGGCATTTGAAGAACTTCAGTTATGTCCACGTGGTTTAGTAATCTCCTGAAACTTACCACCAGGGCCTGCGCCATCAGCAGGCTCTTATCAAAGGACGCTAAATTCTTCTCAAAACAAAGTTTCTACAGTATCAGATTCTCTTGCTTTAATACCTGTTGCCTCTGAAGACTTTCCCTACCTGGGTTAGGAAAGCACTGTGCTAGTGACCAGGCTGCTGATGGGGCAAGTAAAGTGACCTGCCCTGTCGCAAGCTGCAAAGCCATTTATATCTGGGACTCGTCTTTAGCAGTCTGTCGGCATAAATGGATATGCTTAGAAAATAAGTTAACACGCAGGAGTGAAGGTTGTGGGTGGGTTAGAGGGTCCTGCACAGCATATACACCACAGTTTAGGGGACAGGGACTGTAACAACTCAAAGAAAGTGACTCTGAATAAGGCTTTAACAGGCAGAAGGGCTGCCCTGGTCCTAGGGGAGGAAGGGGATGTGGACAAGAGGAGGCCAGCACCTTCCCTTGCTTGTGCCAGTCACTGATAACCAGAGGCCAGTGTTGCAGCTGGATGCACAACTAGCAGGTAGCTCCTGCTGGATAGATGCATTGAGGCAACATCAGGGCAGATGGCTGGATATGCACAAGTTGCAGAGATGGGGAAGAATCTGGTCAGCATCTCTTGAGATGTTACAAATTCATTCCCCAAGTGAAGCAGACCTACATGAACTGCATGTGCATGTTTCTTTTCCTTAGCTACTGGTTACCAGAATATTCTTCCTTTATTTTATGAGACTTTGAATGTTACATTTTCTAGTAGCTGTAGGGAAGTAGTCCCAGCAGAGGCACAATATTGGAAAGCTATTAACATCTGACTCCTCTGCTTTCTCCAAAACAATTCTGTAACTGCTCCAAAACCCATCCAGGCCTCTTGAGGCCAGGCTGTGAATACCCACCTGAATAACATCTTGATCTGCGGCAGTGTAAGCCTGTATGAGGCACAGCCCTACTGACCTATAAATGTTCTTAAAGTTGCTTAAAGTTCTTTTTTTGCTTTGAGCGTCAAACTCACTGCACAAAGAGCAGGCCGTGTCCAACAGCATATCTTTAAAACTGGCTGAATGAAAGAAATACACCTTTTTTTAGAAAGGACTGAAAATCCCATCACAAAAGTACTTGAATTATCAGACATGCTATGTTGCAAATCTCATATTATTTGTCCATTTTCCCTGTAAAATGTAGCTCCCAGAGTCCTGTGATTATAAACAAGTCTCAGATCATAGAATCATAGAATAGTTTGGGTTGGAAGGGACCTCTAAAGGTCATCTAGCCCAGCCATGGGGAGGGACATCTTCAACTAGATCAGGTTGCGCAGAGCCCCGTCCAACCTGACCTTGAATGTTTGCAGGGGTGGGGCATCCGCCACCTCTCTGGGCAACCTGTGCCAGCATTTCACCACCCTCAGCGTAAAAAATTTTAGCATTTTAAAGAAGAAGTTGTCTATCCTCCTGGTTTAATGACAAAGCTTGACCCTCAGGAGGCTTATTTGTGTCTTTGTTACTGAGGAGATTTAAAGGCACATGGGACTGAAAAGGGAGAATGACCACAAGTTGCAACTTGGAGGTTCAGACTGCAATTAGTAAAACTTTTTCACAAGGAGAGTGGTACAGCCCTTGGACAAGTCAATGCAGAGATTGTGGAACCTGCATCATCGGAGACTGTCCTGAGTTTTGGGGTCTGATTCTTTTGGAGTCTTGAGTTTGACGATGCTTGAAATGCGAACCCACTTTAATCTTTATCGATCTGTTTTTTCTCTAAAACAATTACAAACAAAATTGCTTGTCTTCTTAAAACTGACAGGCTTCTGTACTGTTTCATTTTGTGTTCTTGACACATCAACAGGAATGGAGGGCCACTGGTCTGCAGCCAGTCCTGTCACCAGGAGCAGTGCCTGCAATTGCCTATAGCTCTTTGGGCTTCTTGTTGTTCTGAGGATTAAGCCTTTATCCTTTCTTCCTCATATTTGTTGCTTAGCTGAAGAGTCTAAGTAAAGAAAGGCTCCTTGCACAACCAGCATAGGTATAGAAGAAGGGTCCTGGTTCTTAGAAGCGCTCTCAGCAGGTCCCTGGAGTGCTTCTTTCACTGTTGTCTCAGAAGGAAGCAGGCTTAGGAGCCCCAGCCAAGCGCTGAAGTTTGGTGGGATGAAGCCAGACCAGCAGGTTTGTGAGACTGACTCTGTGTGTGTTTGCACACATACATTTGTTAAGTGAAACGTCAAACCTGCTTGATTATGTGCAACTGTTGAGTCTATGCTCCTCTCACCTACTTGGAACTGAAATCCTCAGAAGAGAGCCCTTGTGCTCATATTATACATGCTTTAGTGGAACAGGTAGGTTTAGTCTGATTTCACTTAAAGCAAAACTCTACTCTTGTAAGCCATATATATGAAAAAGCTGATTGTACTTATATATGTGATCTTGGAGCGGGTGTTAGTGTCGAAGGAGGATATGTTATCTCAGTTGGGGAACAATCCTGTAATAACCTTGTGATGACTGACTGATCATTATGAAATTTTCCCAAGTCATCTTTGTTAATACAGTAGCACAGACCCAAGAAATACACAGTTTTCTCTCAAGGTTTTAGGATGAGATATTTGAGCTGATTTGATTCATCTTGGAATTGAGCAAAACATTTAGTGGCAAATATTTCTGTACCAATATTCAGTTGTTCTTTGGGTTTGAGGCACGTTCTGCATTTTCCCATAACACTTTGATTGTGATTTGCAGAAAAACTCCTGCATATTGCCAGAGGATTTAAAGAACTTCTATCTGATGACCGATGGCTTCCAGATGACCTGGAGTGTGAAGACTGATGGTGAGTCCATATATTCCTCTTCACTGATACCCTCATTTCATTGCAGCCAGTCTTTCCTTTGCAGAATCTCTTTAATATCAAACTTACTTTCTGCACACTCAATACACATCTGTCAGCATCCCGCATTAGTCTGAGCAAAAACACATGCACCAAGTCATTTTGAATTAAAAATTAGCACCATTCCTTAACTTACAAAAAAATGAAGTAGTTTGTTGCTGCTAGGCAGCTTGATCAGTGACTACAGAAAACTGGCCTCTGAATTAATAAGTGAGTGCAGTACTGCATGGGTTCGTAGACTATTTTAGAGATGTCTTGGTGAGGAAAAAAATATGACTGCACATCAGAGGTCCCTTCCTGATGCAACAGGGCAAAGCCTATTGCTTGCATGTGCTGGACTTCCACAGAAGAGACATGTACACTGAACACTGGCTAGAAACCAAACAAGTCTTCATGACATAAATACCATTCCGTAATACACTGGCCATCTGTTGACACTCAGATTTAGGTATGCAGTTTAAATCTCCTACCTAGCCTCCCTCTGTAGTTCATGGAGAGAGAAGCAGCTTTAGCACATTATCCTATCATAAAGCAGTAAGAAGAGTCACCCTCTGATAATGCCTCTTTCTCATTAAAAAGTTTATGTACATGCCGGAGCCTGATTCTGCTTTCCACCAGCTAAAACCCATTCACTGGAGTTATTTCTGGAGTCAGTGGTGGAAGTAAGAGCAGGGCCGAGCTTTATTGTCCATCTTTGGCAAGAATCAGGTGGTTCATTCACTCTGCACTGGAGCCCTGCAACTATTATCCTGGCTCTTGTTGCCTTCAAGTGAGGTTGTCAAATTGGGCTGTCGACACTGCTCACTTCTGGAGATGGGTGTCAAATACAGGGTTTTCCTCAGGAAGTGGAATTTCATTTCAGAGACAGTTGACATCAGGGCTCTAGCACCTGCACTGAGTCCCATCGTGTTTCATGTGGGATTTAGTGTGTTGTGAACTCTGAAGAGTCTTGTTTTCAGGGCACACAAGTGCACAGAGACCAAAGCAGCTCACCTAACTGTCTTGTTTCAAGAAGCACCCAGTAGTGCCTTCTGACACCCTTCACACTGGCACATGGCTGAACAGGGTGTTTGTTGACTTAATGTCTGGTAACAGTACTAGTCCTCAGAAGGAGAAACAAGTGACAAGTCCTCAAGCATTCATTGAGGAACACCCGCACGTTGACACACTGATAAAATCCTGTCTTGGAGTGGGAAGCAAGAGGATGCACCCTGAGCAGGTACATGGGGTGGAAGAGGATGAGCTGCCCAATAAGCTGTGAATGGGTGGGGTGGTTTCTGGTAGGAAGGGCAGCAGCAGGGAAAAGAGTTTTGAGGAGGTGGCTGTAGCTAGCCAGGGTTTTTAATAGCCAGTTTCACAGGACTGGGCTAACACCTGCAGCACAGGCTTAGCCAGCAGTGTAATTCTCATACCTGCACAGCTCTGAGATGGTGTCGCATCACCTGTAAGTGTGATTCTGTGTTTGAAAAAGCCTAATTTTTGCTCCTGTGGAGCCTGACTTGGTTAAGTGTCCAGGCCTGCTGGGTATATCCATCTTTTCTTCCCCTCTGTGTTTTAGAAGAGATTGAGTTGATGTGTGGAGGAAAAGAAATACCTCCTATGCTTTCCTGACACTGGATGTGATTAATGATCAGTCTTACTGCAGATACCCCAATGCCTCTGGGCTCCATGGTGATTAATAGTGTTTCAAAGCTATGTCGGCTTGGGGGTTCCTCTATGTACACTCTGCCTAATGCACCAACTCTCGCTGACCTGGAAGATGACACAGACGAGGAAGGTAAGGTCCTGTTAACAGGCTAGAAAATGTCTGTCTGTCTGTCTCATCCCTTTTGCCCTGTTAGGGTAATGTTAGGATATAGCACACGGATATAGCAACAGAAAAGGTCACTCCAAGTAGATGGGGTTTCCTTTGTCTCCTGGGCCAGATCTACTACATGTCCTATTAGTCCCCTACAGCCTTGAGAGGTAGACCTGCATGCTGTGAATCTCATTGGGATTGTTAATGCTGCCCGTCGCTAGTAGTATTTGCATACTCTTTTAGCAGCCTGGCAGCCCTCCTGTTCTGCCTTTTCCCTATTTAAATTTTTAACTGAGGCTTCCTCCAGTGATTCAGCTTCTAAAGTCTTTGTGTGCTTACGGTGTTACATGAAAAAAAGATAACCGTTTTTGTCTTGGTAGTGAAAAGACAGCTGGATGTACTCTTTGGAATTGGAGCACATGTAAGTGTGCTCCATGTAAGTGTGAGGTGGCACTGGAAAACATGTGCTTCCAGACTGCCTAAAAATGCTGGGCATCCTGCAGTTTGGAAAGAAAAAGAAGAAAAAAAGCCCACTTTTTTTCTCAGAGCTCTTATAGTCTAACAAGACTGGAAGAAGTAAGAAGATAAGAACAGAGCGAGGTGTCCTGCTGACTCCTTAAAAAATTGCTATTTGATTTCAGTCTTATCTCTGAATCTCTATAGCTCTTGTAGCTTCTAAACGTGGCTGAAAGTTTCTTTTTGCACATTCCAGCTTGGCTGCAGTCCTGATCTTCTAGCCATTGTAATGAAATGGGCCAAATTCTGCTTCCATTTAGCCAGTTAGACCTCCACTGATGCACTTAATAAGGTACACTGAGAAAAAGTTACATCCCCACCAGTGTTCTCATCCTGACTTTCATGGAAAGCTCTTCTGAAGAGTACAGCTCTCGTGTCCCCCTTCTTCTTCAGCAGCATTAGAATTCAAAATTATATTCTGCAAGAACTTGCAGCTACACGATCCCAAAATGGTCCTGTAGAAAGGCTCTGTAGTGGTTGTGGGTCAGAAGTTGTGTATGAGTCAGAATGTGTGGCTGTTGAGAAGGATGCTTATGTCACGCTGGAATGTATGAAGAAATGTATATGTCTCCAAGGTCATCAAATTCTTCTGTCAAGAGAAAAAGAATGAACTGGTCTGTCTCCCTGTCCTCCTTAGAAAAAAAAGAAAGTAGGGCAGAAAAGAGATGGTGGATAAAACAGAAGTAATGGACTTCAATTGCAGCAAGGAAGATTCAGGATCCATGTGAGGAAAACTTCTAAGTGATAACGATGGATTTGGGCTGACTGCCTGGAGATTGTGGCATCTCCAACACTGGAGGACTTTAAGAAAAGATTAGACAAACACCTCTAAGGAGTAACATCTGTAAAGCTGACCTTGCTTTGTGCCAGGGAAGGACTAGAGGGCAGCTTGATGTCTCTTTTCAGCCATCAGATTTTGACTCTGTGGTTTGTTTTCCTACCAGAGATTAAGATTTTTCTCACTTTTTTTTTTAATACAGGGAACTTAATCCTTTCCAAGAAGTATAAATATAGTAGTTTGATTTAGTTCTTCCTCAGCTGATTTATTAATAAGTATCAAATAGATTGACTCTTTGCAGTTGAGTCACATTCAGTTTTCCAGACATGTTTCATGAAGATATTTTTTCTGTTTTCAGGTAATGGAGACAAACCAGAGAAGCCACACTTTGATTCTCGTAGTCTTATCTTTGAATTAGACCCATGCAATGGGAATGGCAAAGTTTGTCTTGTTTATAAGCACGCTAAACCAGGTAAGACTGAAAAGAGCAAAGTTAGCCATCTCTCGTTGTGGATTTTATCTGGAGGCCACACGCATAGAATCATCTTACATTTCTGATCTTCTTTGCAATTTGTAGGTGAACATCTACTGGGATGTCCTGTCTCCACTGAAGTCTGGGGCTAAACCTTACAGAGACTTAACTGGAGCTAACATTTGCCCTCCTTTTAATGTTTGAATCTGAGTTATAACTTATGATTTCTGCATACATAGCATACTTGCATACTGAAACAGGAAAGCATTCACGTATGACCTACAGACAATCATGTTGAAATAATGCAGAAGGCTAGAGCTCAGCCACTAACATATCTCTGGTTACTTGCATGTCTCGGAACAATTCCCTTACATTTTTATGAGAAACAGTGTAATGCTGCTTAGAAGCAAAGGATAGATGGTAAAAAAGGTCCTTAGCTGATTGAGACAGACTTAGACTGGTTCTTCCACCTTGTGCATAGATGCAGAGCCTCCACGTGCTAACTAGGTCAAAAATAAGATGTGAAAGATGTGGGCTGAGCTGTTCCTTCTGACAGATACACAGAAAGCTGCTATCAGTCAAGGATTGTGAAATACCCAAGTCACTTGTACAGTAGTTATCATCTGACACAGTGCACAGGTCACTAGGTGTATGTGTATACCTGTATGTTTGCTGTGCGGCGGTGTGCAATTGTGATATACCTATTCTGAAGAAAACCCTTTGGTTGTTATCTTGTGTCTTTCATTGGGTGTGACTACAACTCCCAAGGCAGAAACTTCTTACTTGTCCTCTTGCCTTCCAGTCTTAGCGATTTTAGCACATGCTGTGGATAACCTGGGCAAGCGGAGGGAGCGTTGGTTACAGGTGTTGATGTCGGCACAGGGGGCAGACAGTGTGTTTAATTGACAATGATGTTCAGCGTCTCAATTTCCCAAGTAAAATCACTTCTTTTTATGCTCCAAAGGATGTCACCACCAGAGAAATATTTGATCACTGTGGAAAGATTCTGCAAAATATGTTTTTGTTGGCAGCATACACTCCCATGACTTCCAGACTCTGGACTCTATTCAGTAATCCAGATGACTGACAATTGAGTTAGTTGCTTTTTACTTTGTGGGGTAGATAAATGTTTGCCATAATTGTACTTTAAACCTACACTACAAAGTTGCTGATGTCCAAGCATGTTCTATGTAGAACATCAGTCCCAGGTTGGGAAGGAATAGCATTACATCCATTTTACGGTGGAGAAAATTAATATAATGGCTATTGCACGAGTATTTTTAGTAAGGCTGGGAGCAGAACCAAGTCCTTTTCAGTCCCCATCCTCTCACCATTAAACAATATTGCCTCTGGATAATCATCTATGTTAGTCAGGAATGCTGTGTTTTAGAAGCTGCAGCCTTTCTGATAAGTATGTTGTGTCTCCCACCTGACAATGGCCAGGGGTTGATCCTACCACTGCAAAGCAACAGTATAATTTGTGTTTGTTTTGTTCTAGTTGTCTCCCCAGACACAGAGATATGGTTCCTGGACAGAGCTCTGTATTGGCATTTCCTCACCAAAACCTTCACAGCCTACTACCGCCTGCTCATTACCCATCTGGGTCTCCCACAGTGGCAGTACACCTTCACCAGCTATGGGGTCAGTCCCCAGGCCAAGGTAGGACAGCAGGATCCAGCTCATCAGTATTTCGCATGAGTATAGACTGGAAAAACATCTTCCCACCTTTTGACAAGCAGTCTGTAGGCTCCAAGTGAGCCATGGAAGGGGCCATGAGTCTTTCCCCTATAGCATGTTAACAGTCATTTGTTTATGTTAGTGAATTCACTAACATTGTGTTAACCCTGCTTTTCTCACCCAAGTTGGGCTCTACCTTTGAACTCTAATAGCAGGTGGTGGAACCCCAATTAATTATTTGTTTTTATGGCTCTGAAGCCAACCTCCACTTCCATGACTGCTGGCAAGTAAGGAGATGTAAAGTCATTCATCCCCACAGCTATGTAAGATTTGTCTAGATCAGTTTTCTGGGCATAGCACCAAACAAAAGCCTACTGCTCTCTGGGTGGAGAGGAAGGTCCAGGTACACATTAGACAGAAGCCCAGACAAAGACTATGAGCTTCAGCCTTGTCAAGAATATTAATTCCTTTGCATCCTCCTCAGACATGAAGGGATGCCTTGATAAAAATGGTGCCCAAAAAGGGGGAACTTAAATGCCAGCAGTCCTAGAAGTAGTTATAGGAGAGCTTCAGGCACACCCTCATGACCATTCCAGCCCTTTATTATTATTAAAATTGCTATTCTGCTCTGCCAGAACCCTGCTGTTAGAGGCTCCTGCCATTCCTCTGTGCTTGACTGGGCCTTCAGCCCTAACCCTGTTTCCACTCTGTAAGAGGTCAGGGAATGGATCTGACAATACTACCAAACACAGCACATAAGCCTGTGCGATGTCTGTGCATGTTGGCAAGGCCTGGCAGGTCTCAATGAGTGTCCTGCGCTTCACCCAGACAGGACAGCTGTCTTACCAGCATGACATTCCTTGGTCCTGCCTCAGCCCTGTGCATACATCAGAACTACTCACTAAAATCGCTGCTGACTTCCCATCTATCAATGGCTGTGGAATTTGGCTCTTTGTATTTCTGGTGTCTTTCCTGCTATACTGTGCTTTACTTTATCAGTCAAGGCTGTGTACGTGTGCTCTAGCATATGCCTGTGCTCTGCCTTTCTGTAACTTTCCTGCTAGAACATTTTATGTTCAGTATATTCACAAACCTTAGTGAAATCATTCATGTATTCCCTAATCATTTGCAGCCTCTGTTAGTTAAAATCCTCCTAGTGTGTTAACCATTACCATTTTTAAAGGTCTTCAAGGATGGTATATTAAAGCTGTTTTCCATTAAGCAGTACATGAATAGATTGCCATCTACATTTTGGTATTGATCTTTTGTTTATCTTGTTCAACACTTTGCTGATGGTTTCAGTGGGATTTGTAATACCATAACCCCTGCAGTTTTATTTCCTGACTTCGTCAATGGAAAACTGATAGGAAAAACACTAAGAGATGAGAACTGCAGGGCATAACGTTGTGGTGGCATCTGGGAACCAAAAAAAAACTCGCAGTCACTTCTAGATGTAAAATCAGGCTGAAAAGAAACAAACACAAAATCCTTTGTGTAAAGAGTTAAAAACCTGCATTATTGTATGTGTGAAGAGAGGGGGGGAGGCTATATTTTGAGAAGTTCAACTAGTTTGGTTCCAATTTATAAGCCAATTCCAATTCCTTTTAAATTCCAAGGTTTTTTAATCTTTTCTGCTTCTCTGAATCTAAATAAACGTGGTTTAGTTTCATCCCCTCCCTTTGCTTTTCCTCCTGTGGTTTAAATCAGGAGTTGCTCCTGATAGGAGTTACACCACTGGAAAGGTAGTGTTAGGTTTGTGTCTGGTTCTCTTCTTCCCTGCCTGGAATGTGGGGCAGTTCCAGGACTGTAGCTGTAGCTGAGCCTTGTGTATCCTTATCACAAGGCACTCTGCGTGGTCCTGTAAACTGCAAACTGATAAGTGGTGTATGATTAAAATCAGGTCTCAGGGGTGAGGGGGAACAGGGTGGAAATGTCTAATTGCAGTTTGATTTTAACCTCTTCCTTCCCTACCATCCTGCCTTTCAGCAATGGTTTAACATGTATAAACCCATAACCATCAACACAGCTCTCCTCTCTGAAGAAGCTGATTCCTTTGTGAACAAGCTGGACCCTAATAAGGTATTTAAAAGCAAGAACAAAACTCCAGTGATCAAAAAGAAACCACCCTCCCAGCCAGCAGGCTCCCAAAAGAGTCACATGAGCATGACCTCCTCCAAGACATCCTCACTAGCTGGGAATTCTTCAAGGAAGTAAGACCCCCAGACCTGATCCCGGACAGCATTTGCAATAAGCTTTGATGTTCTCTGATGCAGAGTCTCAGTGGTTCAGACCAAGTTCCTTGTGCATGAATAGATGTGCCCATGGAAAACACATTGCTGCATTTGCATGAAATATAGCCACGATGTACTTTGACATGGCAGGGATGTAGTTCCTGGAGACTCTGAGAAAAAAACTTGAGACATTGATTTTATTCCCTTCTGCTATTTGCAGCATGTACTTTTCAGAGGGCGTGAAGAAGCCCTTGATGTCACTGCTCTATAGGGAAGCTTTTGTTCCTGTGCAACTACAGCAGTGAAATGAAAGCAAATGTAAGTCACTATTACTTTAATAGACCCATGCTGAAATACAGCATATGAAGCTATTTCTGCCATCTCCTTTGAAAGAAACCTGTCCTGACCTTGCATGCTATGGGAGCAGGCTGGAAAGCACTGAACAAAGAAATATCTTCTGCTTCAGACAGAATCAAACTCCGCACCTCCCTGTGCTCATTCCAACCTCTGCTCTGAGATTCATGGTACAAAGGGACCTGGGGCTTCACGTGTCTGCATTGGCCTAGTCACTTGCTCTACAGCCCAGACCACTTTTTGGCCTTTGTGCCGTATCTTTTTGGAGAGTGACATCTGTGTGATGCCCTTCCCAATAAGCCTGAAGGCAGCCAGAAGCTGCAAGATCCGTCATTGCCTCTGCTTTCTCCTCTTGTGGAAACTGCTGAGCCAGGGCAGGTCAGTGGTGTTAAGAATGCGTCCCATAAGCCAGGAGGACCCCTTGGTTTGTCACACAGTCATTTGCAAAGTTGACCATTCAAACAGCCTTTGTCACTTTTCAACTGGGCAGGATCTGACCAGGGGCCACTGAGATCCTACAGCCTTAGAAGCCCTTGATGCTGTTTTCTATACTGTAAGTTTTCAGGTTAGATCTGCACTTTAACCCATCCACTGCTGGTTTTCAGTTACGTCTGATTGTTTCCATTACTTTTCTTTGCTATTCTGTCTTCTTAGATGTTCTGGAAACACATGGTAGCAACCAACATATTTTGTGCCTAAGCAGGGAAATCAAAGTCACCATCTTCAAATAAGCATTGATTATTTAAACAGCATCATCTTTTATTTATGAAACAGTCACATAATTACATAAGACAAACCTACCTCACAGGGATGTTGTGAGGCTTTCACAAGTATTTGTATGGCCTTCAGGAAGATGAAGCCACCCTGTAAGTGCTTAATAGTATTTTAATAAAGATTTGAATATTTTCCTCCAGAGTGATTGGGTATTGGAAGATGCTTTTGGGAGCACATGCACAAGGATGTATTGTAAGAGCAGGGTGCAGGCTGGATTGTTTGGCTTTTTTTTTTTTTTAATGCAGTGGAGAATCTCTCACTGAGAAGTGATGGGTTACAGTGTCTTTTAGCTAATCCCATCCTGAGCTACTCTGAAGTTCCCAGTTTAGTTCACATAGACCAAAAGACTCAGCTGTGTGACACTTCTGCCCTGCGCTCACCGTTCAAAATCTCTGCAGCCATCAGCCCCAGCTCTGGCATGCGTTGCTGGCTTCCAGCACTGCCCAGGTCCCACCCTCAAGTGCAGTTGCTGCATTGGCTGGCAGCTGCTCTCTGTCACCCCCAAATGAGAGAAAATCCTCTAATGCTCTTCAGCTCTCTTAAGCTGATGTGCGTCTTGTGACTGGTGAAGATCTGCTGTAGCTGCTCTACTAATACAAGGTCAGCTCTAATGAGGGAGCAGAGGCGTCAGTACCTACCACCCCACCCCATGCCACAGTAATACATTAGTAATCCTTTTAATAGTGAGCTGTGAATGATCATTAAAGCCAGTAAATGCCATTTTCTGGAATTCTGTGCAGTATTGATGTTCTGTCACTTCCTACTCTTGGAGATCCCTGTGTTGTGTGTTCATGGTACCCAGCCCGGGGACTGCCGTCACATGCTTGACATACATACCATACTTGCTTAAGGACTTTCTAGAAAAGTTAAGACTGTTGTCACCCCCCTGGGAACAGGCAGCTTCTGATACTGTTTTACTTTTAAACCAATGATACCTCAAGCTTGTAAGGCTGTTGCAGGCCCACTTCGTCATTCAGATGGAGGTGGCAGAATTCCTGCAGGAGCAGGGTAGCCTATTCCCACATTTCTCATGCATTCAGAGTGGAGAAAAGGGGTTTGTTTTTTTTTGTTTGAGCGTTTAGGGATGCTGCCACAGAAGTTGTCTGAATCCTTTCATATGGTGGTAGTTAAAATCTAGCCTGTCAGAAACACGTATGGTTCCATGATGCCAACGTGTTCCAGCAATGCTGTGCCAGGATTTGGGAGACCCTGTAGTTTAGTTTACTAATTTTTTGGTGCTTCCTGAATGTTCAGATCAAAAAGCAAAAACCAAAACCAAGCATGAAAAAAAAAAATCAGGTTCAGGCTTCTATTTCAGGCTGTCCTTGCTCTTCTCTTCTCTGTGCTCTGCTAAACTAGTTGTTCATTAGGGTGATAGATTAGCAAATGAAAGCAACCCTAGGCCCCTGATCCATCAGTGTAATATCTGCCTCTTACCAAAGAATATTCCAGATCAAAATTCCTTTAAGTTAATTAAGTTGTTTCTGCCACTGTTGGATCCTGTATTTTGATTTCTATGAACATACAGGTATCTGGAGTCTTGCAGCTCTGCTTTGCTTTTCTCCAGAATGTGATGATTTTTTTTTTTTTTTTTGTGTAGATTATTACACAGGGAGATTGAATAATTTCTTCGGGTCACAGACAGATCTAGCCCTACCCGGGTCTGCCCAGTGTCTCAAAGACGCAGTTTGTCTGGTTAAACAGAGTATGTTATTGAAGACTAGTCCCTCATTTCTCCACCTGCAGGGTGGAGAAACGGTGTGCACATGCCCTTATCCACTTGGTTACCCTTTGGCTGTCAGTCCATACATCCACATAGGCTTTGCTGTCAGGCCCTTTCCTCGGAGCACGTGGCCATCACAACGTAGAAGTCTCCACCGCTGGCTGTCCTTTCTCGTTTCCACTTTCTGGGACAGGTTGGTTATGAAAATCAATGAAGAGTTTGTGGATTAAAACACCAGCAAGACTTCCCAGAATCGGAGCTGTGAGTGGGACCCACCACCAGCAATGTCCAGCCCTAAAATGAAACACAGAAGAGGCAGCCGGTGAGCCAGATGCACTGCTGCCCTGCCGCCGCATGGCACAGGGTGAGGTGAGCTGAGTCTGCTGGGGCAGGAGTGAGCTGTGTGAGCAGAGGTGTCTAGACCCACTTCACATACTGGGCCCTACAACTGGCTTAGACAAATTCTCTATCCACCAGGGTAATTGCTGGAGGGAGGATCATTTTCCTCATCGGCCTGCAAAAGTGGCTCTGCACTGTCTGCAGGTTTCTTGTTCTCTTACAGAAGTAGTCTGTGTGATCCTGATGAGTGTGACTGTCAGACAGACAGACACACACACACCTTTTCCCTCCCAGTTTCAAATAACATCTGCACCTTCTCTACCAAGCTCTCAAAGAGATTTTCTGGAATTTTAATGAAAATGGGCAGCCGGGACAGGAGAGACTGCTAATGCCCTCTCTATGGGAAAAGCCATAGCATCGCACCATCTTACTAGATAGGGGAAGGCAGGGTTTCATCTCCGGATTCAGACATCTAAATTTAGGAGAGCTATTCAGCAATCCAGCTGTAAGTACCTGCTTTCAGGTGAGCTGAATTGTCCTCTGGCTCTCCAGTCACTGCAATAACCAGCTAGATCTCTAGCTAACAGGTAGCCAATTTGGTGCCCAAATTGAGGTATCTGAATGTCAAGATCAATCCCATGCTGGAGAATTCGTGTATCCCAAGTTTTGTGTACACAATGCACAGGGCTCGTCTATGCACAACTGTTGCTCTCTGAGAATGGAGAAAGCACTCTGCAGCGATACCATCACTTGGTTCAAAGAAAAAGGCTTCATGACCATTTTATCTTGGGCTTATCTCCTCTCCTTGTGAGCTGAGCAGTGTAAAAGCAAAACAGGTCACTCACGTGAAGACGTCCATTCCCCAGCCAGCAATTGCCGTGAAGACCCTGGGGGGCAGGTCCCGAGAGGGGTTTATGGCATAGCCTGTGTTCATCCCCATCCCCAGGCCGATGCCCAGGACCAGGATACCCGTGAGCAGAGCCTGCGTGCCTTTCAGGGCTCCGTTGTTTTTCTCGTCATGGATGATCAGAATGCCCAGCATCAGCATCACTGTCGCCGTAAACTGCAGAGGCAGGAAAGGGGGAACAGGTCAGGAGAGAGAATGGGGAAGGCAGAAGGATCCTGCTCAGCAGAGAGGAACAGACTTCCCAGAATGGAAGAGCAGGTGGGATTCACGGTCTGATCAAGTCAGGGAGGACCCCAATGTTATTCCCTCCTCACAGGTGGACTGAAGAAAAGTCCAGATTCATTTCCCAGCAAAAAAGTTTCCACCTCATCACCAAAAATGCTCTAGCACTGATATGAACTTCTCAGCACTGTCCTCTCCCTCCACCTTTGAAGTTAGGGACATGGGTTACTTAAGTACATTTCGTCTAACAGAGGCAGAGCCGTAACAAACTGCTAATGAGACAAATCTGATCCTCCCTAGAGGGAGTTATGTTTTATATAGCCTGTTGCATTAGCCCTTTCAGGACTAAAAGCAGATGATACCAGATTCTCATCTGGGAAACTGAATCTTCCATCTGTGACAGTACGTAGCTGGCATTTGTAGATCTGCAGTGCCCAAGACGTCAGGAACTGTGGTTTGAATAGAGGTGATGACTCCTGTCTCTTTCTGCTTCAGAAAATGCATCTGGAAAGCCTTGGACAAAGATGCCAGCAAAAGCAGAAACTCTGCAGCTCTTGGCAATGCACTGTCACTGTCATTTACTTTCTTGTGCAGCAAGGACACTGCATGCTCCACAGGAGGCTGAGTGATCAGGTCCCCACCTGTAGGCTCTCCAGCTCTCACCGTCCTCCTCATCATGCCCAGGCAAGAGTTTTGTCAGCTCAGAGACAAAAGCACAGGCTTCCTTAGATTTGAATTGGAAGTGAATCTTCCTTCTCCAGTGTCCCAGTGCTCCACGTCCCCTGAAGCATCCCCTTCCTATTTCTGGGCATCTGGACATTGTGTTGTATGCTGGGAATCAACTGTACACAGTCTACATTGGACTGTTCAAACCCCAGAGGTTCCATCCAGACAGGCAGTGTTCATGTGAAGACAGTCCCGGGCCCTCTGTGCCAGTGAGGGGCAGCCAGCAGAGCTGCCTGGGAGAGTGGAGCAGGTGTAGGATCCAAAAAGGAGAAGAACAGTTCAGAGATCTGCCCAGAGCCCAAAGGAGATAGTTCCTGATACAGCTCAGCTTCTCACTTCCCATTGCTTGGGCTGCATGCGGGGAAGGTGTTTGGAGGGCACTAGGACCAAGCTGCAGAACAGCGTGCAGGCGTTAGCTTTTAGGCTTGCTCAGCCACCAAGGTGCCTTGGATCCTACCTGTGGGGCACCTGCCCGGATGGTGGGCTCCTTGGAGTAGAGGTTGTGATTGTGTCTGCAAACATACCACTGTGAGTCCCCTATAGCAGACCTGCAGTAGCACCTGCTACCACCCACCTTCTCCTAGCACACCAGAGCAGTCCCCACTGACCTCTGTGAAGAAGCCCCCCAGCAAGGATACACAGGGAGCGGGGTAAGTGGAGAAGATCGACGCCGTGGCAGTTGGTCCCGTCACTGTGAAGTTCCCCTTGGTGTAGTCATACAGAGCATCTAGGAGAAATGGCAATTACAGGAGTTAGCACAGAGTTCACCCCACATGGCATGTACGCAAGTCCATCCATTGCAGCCAGCAAGGACACCAAGGGGAAGAGAAGCAATGGGAGATATGATGGAGGTGACACACCCCTCGCAGGGCATGATCTCACCAATAACGGTTAACTGCAGACTTTGGTCTGCAGTTGCTTCCTTATGCCTACCAGCTCCATGTCCCTGCTTCAGGAGCCCGGGACAGGCTAGGCGCCCTGGGTGCACTGGAGGCCTCCATCCCTCTGCCCCTCGGAGACTGAAACATGCTGGAGCCAATGGGTGGTGTGTCCTCTGCTCACAACTCAAAACCACAGATGACTGCTGTTCTGTTTTCTACAGACCAGCAGAGTCCCCCAGAGCTCCAGCTGTACCTAATATGTGGTAGTCCATCTAACTCAAGCCTTTGCAGATCCTGGAAACAAAATGCTGACGAAATGCAGCTACTGGCCGTGAGTTGAGGACAGGTTTTGGTAGTGGGAATGCCCTGAGCAAAAGGAGCTGTGCTCTCCAGGAACTGCACATCCTTCCTAGATATATCTGGGCCCTGCTCTGGCGTTGAGTTATGAAGGTCTGTCCCACAAGCCAGGAGCTCGCCCTCCTCACCCAGACATCATGCTGGGTACTGTAAAAGGAAATATTTTTGATGAACCGTGAGTTAAGACCAAAATCGTGCTCACAGGAATCCCTGTGATAAAGACACAACCATACCGTAGTAGAGGCCGAAGACAGTGGCTGCTGCCGTAAAGGAGCCCAGGAACTGGCCGATCAGATAAGCTGGGAGCTTCCTCCAAGGGAGGTTTCCTAAAATGCAGTGTGTGAGGGTGATGGCAGCATTCAGATGAGCTCCTGCAAAATCACAGCAAAAGAGAGTGGTCTTGACCCTGATGCAGCTGTTTTGGAGCATGCCCCAGGCCCCACAGTAACCACCCAGACCTTGCTCCAGAACACCAAGACTCTCACAGGGCAGGGTGTCCCTCCAGCACAGACTCAAAACTGACCCATTTTCCCTGGGCAGCTAAATGATTCAGAGCAGAGAG